TGTAACCAAAATAAAACATTGATTCACCACGAAAGTCTATGTCGTGTACCTCATAATGTCATAATTAAATGTATTGTGACGTTGTGACGTCGGACCATATATATATATATATAGGCAGGAGTTTATTTTCGAAAAAAAAACACCGCGAAACCAACTATCTGACGTAAACAGTTGAAACAATAAGCCACATGGACTTCGTTACACAGACACTGTATCTCTCCCCCCTCCATCTCTTTCAAAAGTTACATAAAATATATATTGTTGTCGTGTTAGGGGTTAATATATTATTACAGTAGATCTGATGTATTACCTCGGAACGGTGATTGCTGCGGGACCGGTTGTCCGCTGTCTGCCGTTTCTGTGAGTTGTTGCTACAACTCCTCTTCCTGTTGCCAGTGAACATCATCGTGATGTCGGCGTGTTGTATTCTCATTCTGTGACTACCGACGGTGCTCCGGCCCTCATCAGCTGCGGACCGACGTCGTGCTCGCCCGACGTCTCTGTATTTTATATTTTAGAGCGCGCGCTCGACCACCTGCACCGCGTAACACCTATATCGTATCTAACCTACCTCGGGTATCTCCCAACTGCCTAATATATTATTAATTTTTTTTTTTTTTCTAATAAAAGCACAAAATACAACTAGTACATTACGACACGAAAATCGATATTTGAAAAAAATTTCAATTATGAGTAGGTATTGTATACTTCCGACGACGGTGTACGCGGTATAATCGAAATAGTGCGTGCCCGAGTCGATGAGACCACGTCCGTTTATAGGTCACGAATTTAAAATATTATATGGCTAATTATTTTTGGACCAAAATTTTTGGTCCGCGACGCCGATGGGGTGGGTGCCGAGCGAACGGACGTGGAAAGAGGGGGGAGGGGAGGGCAGCGAATTTGTTTTATTTTAACATACGATTATTATCGTGCCGACCACGGTGGACTTATACGAGTAACGAGCCGCATAAATTACGTATTTAATACGATGATATTGTTATGAGGTGTGCCTAATGTCCTTTTGCTTGCCGGTTAGTAAAAAATTTCAATTATTATTTTGTTGTCATACCTAGTCGTGGCCACCATACATTGTGCACAGTACGATAACACAATAGGACTATTATAATAATACTGTTGCGGAAAACGAGACACGCGTACACAACGGCGGCGACGTCGACGACGACAGTCGTGCGGTGGTCGGTCGCGCGCGTTTTAAAAATAGAAATTCTCGGATGAACCGCGGTCGCATCGTGACTGGAGTGCGCGCCGGCCGAATTTCGCGCCCGTTGTTTTGACTGCGACACCGATGGCTACATCGCCGCCCCCTCCCTGTCCCTTCGACGCCCCCACCTCGTGGTGTTACCCGGTGGAAGACACGGAGCGTGCCGGTTCGCGACGCATTCGCAATTCGCACGTACATTGTACAGCCACGCGCTTGACCCCTTTTTTACTCGCTCTTTCCTTTTTCTTTTTTGTGTTGCACCGTTTCAAGCGCAATGCATGATCGTTTACAACCGTTAATACGTCGTGTCATACATTTTGTGCACGTAGAAACTGCAAGTTTGAACGACAATATTGTCGTTTGCGACCATGCCCATACGACTGTACAATAAACGAGTTGAATTTCAGTTTCAACGTCGCCGAGACGCCGAGTGCTGGTGAAAAATCTCTATAGACAGTACACACTGACTAAAAATGAATAATGCTCGACTATAATAATTGAAATATTCGAAAATTCGATTCCATAACGCAGGACATGCGTAGGACCTATTAAGTTAATACAATAGTTCTCAGCCTTTTTTGATTCATGTCACCTTTAGCCACTAGAATCAAACACTGCATCACCCTAACATCAAAATAATAAATAATCTTAGCTGTGTATCGCACGAAAAATTACTAGGTACACGTGTTTATCGGACTAAAAGATTAAATATAAATAATACAAACCATTATAAAGATACGAACTTTGAGGTATGTTATGTACATGACAGTGGTAGTATAGGTGTATAATATATTTATTATAAGAAATAATATGATTGTTTTCGAAAAAATTAATTTTTTTAATTTTTTTCTTTTTTTGTTAAAATTCTGCGTCACTCCTAAGCTAGGTATATGTCACCCTAAGGTGACATGTCACCCAGGTTGAGCAAACTACTGAGTTAATATGATAAATCAATTAAGATTAACGGCGTTGTAGATAGATAATTAAACGTACACAACAATAATACTGAATTCCATTTGATGGTATCTACCAATCCAAAGCTATGCATATGGCAAATTAACGATTTTTCTCCTCTTTAGCTACCTCAAGTATTTTTTAACTTCATCAAATGAAAAATTAACTTAACAAATAGAAATAAAATTTTGTATTATGGAATAGAGACGAGGCTAGAGGGGGGGAGGGCAAGGTACGTGCATAGGCGGAAATGGGGGGGGGGGGGGGCTAGAGGGAACTAAGCCCCCCCAGAAGTTTAAAGTACAGGTCTTAGCCCCCCCTGGCCACCACAATTTTAATGTGACTAAATATACAATAATTATTCTAATTGAAAAATTTATTTTTAATATATGAATCACAAAATAAATTGTACAAAAAATATTCTATGACAAAAATTAAATTTTACAAACTTATCATAACATGGAACGATCATAATAATTATACTTCGTAATATACTATTATTAATAATACGTAATAATACTCGTATTGGTTGTTTATCAGCAGTGTTGTCCCGGTACTATGAAATTCCGTAATAATATTCTATTTTTAACTAATTATGAAGTTAATCGATAGTTGCCATAATTGACGAATTCTACTTTCTAGTATTTTTGTTTTTTCGCCGCTTATTACATTCAGTATTTGTTATTTGAGTGGTTAACGGCTAACAAGTTTAATTATTTAATTTTTATTGACCATTATGTCTAAGAAATTATTTGCGATCTTTAATGTGAATAAACCGTCTATTGTGGCCCCGGTTTGTACCTACTAATGTCACAGACGATACTGACCTAGACGACTCTTTAAGTATATTGTATATAGTCTAGGAAGTATAACTACAGTTGAATTTACAAAAGTAAAATGTGTTGATTTGGTACCTGAGACTTGTGATCTAGGAACTTTACTGACTAGTCCATCTCGTCCGGTACTTGAGACAAGTATAAAACCAAATTATTTTAAATGGTTTGTAGTTTATTGTACATTTATAACTATTATTTATGTACTTTGTACCTACTATAGTCGTATCCAAAAACTGTTTTTGGGAAACAAAACCGTGGTTTTAATTCCGTTTATTATTCAAGCTTTAATTGGCTAGAATATAGTATTAAACGTGATGCTATTTACTGTTTTTGCTGTCGCAATTTTAGCATACCTAGCAACAGCAAGTGATAATAATGATTTTACGTTTACGAGTATTGGATTCAACAACTGGAAAACAGCAAGTACCTACCTATTTGTTTAATTATATTTTAACTATTTTTATTATATTTAAAAATGTTTATTGTATTTATATAATTATCCGGGTCAAGAGGAAAAAAAGGAAATAAACAGAGTAAACTGCATGGACATTCAACTAGTAAACAGCATTTAACTTGCATGGCCAAATGGGAAGCTTATATTTCTACTACAATAACAGGAAGTATCCACTCTCAAGTAACATCAAGCCACAAGCTTCTCGTAGAAAAAAATGTCCAATATGTTAAAACTCTTGTTGATATAACATTATTTTTGAGCTGCCAAGGATTAGCGTTTAGAGGACATGAAGAATCAAGGCTCTCACTAAATCAAGGTAACTAACTAAAATAATTAAACATATATTACAATTTAAATTTTTTCACTGCTAAAAGATTATCTAATAGATACATAAAACATTATGTTTTATAATATATAACATTTAAAATACCAGATACATTTTTCACTACCTATAGACATAATATATTCTTGTTACAGGAAATTTTAAAGAAATTTGCAATTTAATTGCAAAACACTATCCAGAATTTGCAGAAAAGTTTCAAAATACTACCAATTACACTAGTCATGCTGTGCAAGATGAGTTGGCTAATTTATGTGCTGAGAACATAAGACATAAAATTACAAAAGAAATTGAAGACATTAAAGTTTTTGGTATAATGTGTGATGAAGCTAGGTAAGAATCTAACTTTTAAATGACAAGTATACAAAATTAAATTTAGTAAAGGTTTAAAAATTATTTTGATTATAACCCAAGACCCAATGAGAGAAGTACTTTCACCACCTACCAACTGGATTTTTTAATTTTTATTTTAGGTGTTTTAAGCAAGAAAAAAATGTCTTTATGTGTAAGGTATACTGTTGGCCTTAATATTGTAGAACGATTTCTGGGATTTATTGACGTTTCTGACAAACAAGATGCTGAATCCTTAAGTGTCCATATATTTGCTTACCTTACTAAAAATAACATGGACACGTTTCATATTGTGGCAAAATCCTACAATGGGGCAAATGTTATGTCTGGAAAGTTCAATGGTGTTCAGGTTAAAATTAAAAATAAATTTCCATATGCCATTTATACGCATTGTATGGCCCATCGTATAAATCTTGTAGTAATCGACATGTGCAAATATGTTAAGGTAAATTGTAATTTGTTGAAAGTGTATGTTTTAGCTGTTTTAAATATATATATTTTTTTTTTGTATAGGAAACTAGGACTGTTTTCAATACCATTGAAGGGTTATATATCCATTTTTCTCATCCAACTAAAAACCAGATGCTTGTTGACATGCAAAAAAAGTTGGGAATAAAAAGTATCCACATTGGTTGCTTAAGTGATACTAGATGGAACTGTCGGTTTAAAAACGGTGAAGCAATATTACATAATTATAAAGCTATTATAAATGTTTTACAGGAAGAAATAGACAATCAAACTGATAGAAATGCAAATGAAGCTTTAGGTAAATTGTGTGAAACATTTAAAATAATTGGATTTTAATATTTAAATGTTTTTTTTCAAGGTATACTTACAAATATGTCAACAAGCTCATTTATTGTTAATTTGTTTATTTTAAAAGATATATTGTCTACAATAAATATTCTTTGTCAAATGCTACAAGAAAAAAAATGCAACACTAGGCAAAGCAGCAATTCTTATCAAGGGTGTTTTGCAAACTTTTGAAAATGGTAGATCTACTCTTGCTTTTAATAATTTATGGTTAGAAATCCAAGACTTTGCTAAAGACTACAACATTAATTTCAATGTACCATTTCAAACACAAAGTAAATATTATTTAATAATTTTATAGTTAGGTGTAGACTGTAGAAAGTAAAAATTATAAGTATTTTTGTATTTTAGGATTGAAACGAATAAGAAGAGAACCTAATAGACTTAATGATTTCGTTTTGATTACTGCTACTGGTGCCGAAGAACCCAATGAAGTTGATAATGCTACTGCTGAAGATTATTTTCGTGTAAATGCATACTTTAAAGTTTTAGATTCTATTATTGTCAATATAAAGAAACGGTTTTGTACAGAAAGTTTGGAAATGGCTGAATCTATTGATAACTTTTTTAAACTGAACATTGAAAAAAGCAAATTCTTTATTGACCACTATAAAGTATACTTATACTATAATTAATGTAATTGTTAATTGATACATTATTTAAACTTTGTATAGTTGACTAACATAGTAACATCTCCTAAAATACCCTGATTTTCATACATGAATTGGCTGATATGACACTTACTAATTTCACACTACACAACATTTTAATATTAATAATAAATAGTAACACATTATGACTTATGTATATCTTTTTATTTTTTAGGATTTATTAGATGTCAATTGTTATAATTTAAAATCCGAAATTACTGTTGTAAAAAACTACTTAACATTAACAACTGGAAAAGATGATATCTCCTTAGAGGATTTAAAAACATTTATTGTCAAGAATGTCTACCCAAATATATATAAACTTCTACAGGTGGCTTTAACTTTACCAATAAGTTCAGCCACCTGTGAACGTTCTTTTTCTGCAATGCGCCGAATAAAAACTTGGATGCGATCTACAATGGTTGAAAATAGATTCAATGATCTTTCTATTTTAAACATTGAAAAAGATTTAGCAAAAAAAATTAGTAATAATGATATAGTTAATGCTTTTTCGAATAAAAATCGATATATTGTATTGAAATAAATATATTAGATACACTTATTATGTTATATACTTGACTTCTTTGTTTTCACATCCAATATTAAATTGGTTATAATTCAATTAATTTAATAACTTAATGATAAAATTTCTGTTCAGAATAAAATGTTCAAGGTAAGGCACATTATTGTTTTTGTACTGTATTATGGTTAAATTGTTTAGTATGTCAAACTTTTAAATTGTTTTGTTGAAATAAATAATTGCGAGTGACTTAAGTACATTAGTGCCTATATAGATGTAATGAGAAATATAATACTCAGCCCCCCCAGTAATTTCACCAAATTTCCACCTATGGGTACGTGTTACCATACCATTGATTAAAAATAGTATAAAATATTGATAAAGGTGTCCTCTTACCCGGGACTTGACTAATCCCTTTATGTAAATACTAAAGTTCACAATTAATCTTTCATACTTAATTATAAAAGTAATTTCTCTTTTTGCATATTATTTGTGCCATTAAACTGACCTAAAGGGCATACAGATAACATACCTCAATTTAATAATTACAACAACCCTTCTTTAAAACCCATAAAACTTACACCAATTATTTATTACTTATATTAACTATTATAAACAGTAATATACTAATATACCTATTTATTTTAAATTAAGTTCATAAAGATGTATTAAAGAGTTTAGAAACTATTTTCTTTACTCCTGTTGAAATAATTAATAATTGTACAATTTTCAGCAATTGCATTTTATAGATTATATCTTACACATAACACACATTAAAAATAATATAATTCAACATATATTTGCATTACCTGTATTATTATTATACATATTTATAATTTTAACATAAAATATTGATTGTATATCTCACATTTATAATATAATTTGGTTTTAAAATGACTCGAGTAATTCTCTTCTACTATTCTTCAAACTTAGTTAAGTTTATCGAAATTGTTAGAGTAACTTTCAATAAAAAAACATTTAGAAATTCTCCTCGCAAATATGTTTTATATTTAATATTTTTAAAATTTTTAATGATATTTATAATAAGACATAAAAAAAAACAAATGTATACTGTAATAAATCTTCATATTTGTTAGAAGTTGTATTTATTTTTCTTTCTATTATAAAATACTCTTTGTCAATAAAATTTGATGTACATAAAAGTATATAGTGTAAATTATGTTACAGTTAAAACCCAAAATTTGTTGAAACTAGTTTTAACTAGTCAATACTAATTTTCACAAATCCCTTTGGTCACTTCTAGTTTTAACTAGTTAAAACTAGAAGTGACTGTAGGTTTAAATAAGTCAGTAAAAACTAGTTTTAACTAAAACGCATATATTCGAACTCATATTACATAAAACGCACTCGACCACAGACTTTATATTTTTAAATATTGCACGGTAATTCGACAGAGAATCAAATTCCAAAAAATCATATTTCCCTCCGTGCAGCCGCAACAAAAGCATCAACGAGCTCAGGGCAAGGCTTTGTAAAATGCACTTGCAAAACATCCTGCGGAATAAATCGTTGTTTATGTAAAAAAAATAAAATTCAATGTAATTCTAAATGCCATGATAGTTTGTCCTGCCGAAATAAATAATATAATAAAAGTCTATATTTAATAATTACTTAATATGTACTAAATGTTTCTACTATTCCAGCGGTTCCCAACCTGGGGGTAATTACCCCCTAGTGGGTAAAAACACGATTTTTTGGAGGGTAAAAGTTAAACTATTTATTTGTATTTTAAGTACTTATTATTCATTTACTCATGTGTATTATGACTGTAAATGAAATTGTAATAATATAATATTTTTGTTAATAGTGTTAATAGTTTTGAGAACTCTTATTTTCTTTGTTTGCAAAAATTAAATAAATTATAATTATCATCATAATATATATTTTGTTTTTTTTTGGGTCGGGGGTATTTGTGAATATCTAACCTGACTTTTGGGTAATAGTCTCAAAAAGGTTGGGAACCGCTGTACTATTCCCTAATTAAAACTAGTATTACCTATCAATATAAATAATACGGATTTTTACTAGATAATTCTAGTTTCACTAATATAATATTTTAGACACAACTAATTCTAACTAAATAAAATAAATTAAAACTAGTTTTGACAGTGATAGTCTTAGTAAATTCTAGTTTTAACTAGTTAAAACTAGAAGTGACTAAAGGGATTTGTGAAAACTAGTATTGACTAGTTAAAACTAGTTTCAACGGATTTCGGGTTTTAACTGTAACATATACTTTAAATTGAGTATAAAAGTCAGATTCCTAGGTTATTAATCAGTCTTAGTATTTCCTAACATGAAACTGAAAAATAAATTAATATGATTATTTCTCCAGTTATTCTAATGCCCCATATGCAGATTTTAATTAAACCATGTAACCATGACATAGTTATTTCATGTAAATTATTTTATTTTATTATTGATATTATTAGCTTTAGCAATAATAGCTATAGCTAATTACATACATAATTTTTCTATTTAATAAACACACAACAGGCAAAACAATTTAATTTTACATTTATATTCCAGCACAAAAGAGAATGCACCAATTTTACAAATCAGACTGACAGCAACCATCTAAGTTAAATTATGTTAACAATGTTAACATTGTGAGTTTAGAATTGATAGGAATGAGCAAATTTGGATACATTTTGATCATTATCTAAATGCATTCTCTTTGAAGCAAAATATAGCTGACTAGATCACAATTTATAAATAGGATTCAGATTTGAAGACAATATAAACAATAAAAAAATATCAATTATTGATAATCTTAAATCTAAACATTAAGAACAGATTTTAATCTTTAGGTAGTATGTCTACTTTGATAAATGTTAACATTATCAATATGTCTAACAGAGATCATAAAGTATACCCAAAAGATAATTTTAAATATAAAATCGACAATGTGTCATCTTCATAAGGCTTTATCAATTTATATTGTAAATCCGTTAATATGATAAATTGATAATCAAATAAAAAAATTAAAAAGGTAAAAAAAACAATAAAGGCAATTATGGAAAAAATGCAAAAAATTTTTAGTTGATACCTTAAAAATTAAATTATATACATTTTTGGACAAGAATTATTTTTTGATCATTATCAAAATAAAAAGGCATACCTATGTCTTTAAATCCAAACCCTAATTATAAATATTCTATAAAAAATGTACTTCAATAACAAATAAATGTCAAATAATTTGTACAAAATCAATGTTTAAATTTGATTACATGCTTGTAAAATACATTTTTAACCACATTAAACAATGTAACAGTTGGTTAATAGTTCTAACTAGAACTTGAGCAAATAAAGCAGAAAATAAATAATATCATAAAAGTCATTAACAGTACTTTTAGTATATTTATTTCTGGTATATAAAATTGATGATTGTTTATAAATGAATTATTCTTAAGTATAAATACAACATATTATATTTTGTGGAAAAAATTGAAATAAAATATTTTTATCATAAATATATTTTATACTGATATTTATGATAAAATATAATTATTATCATATTATACAAGTGTACCCTCTAATGAATCTTCATTGTTGATAGTAGTTGGATTTCTTTTTCTATCTGCTTCTTTATGTCTTTCTACACGCGTCAATAATACATTTATAAATTCATCAATACTTTTTGCAGGTCCAAGTACAAGAAAAACTTTAATTGAATCTTCTTCAAATGCAGTGAGTCTAACACTTTTTTCACTAACTTTTTCAACTTTCATATCCGCCCAAATCTAAAGAAATATTTAATAAAAATAAATAAATATAATACCTAGCAATTTAAATAAATTCAAAATAATACCTTAGTGTTAAGAATAACTTTAAGGTTTCCATTGCTTCTCATAACTACTCTTGACGACTGTCCTCCGTCCATATCATTTACACGTAATTGTCCACGTCCTTTTTCCACCCAGTTGGATTTAGCATTATCATACACATATAGCTTACATATATTTAACTGGAATACGTTTACATCATTTTCTTCTCCAGTCATACAATCAACTTCTTCATATTTTCTTTTGGTTGCCCGTGATTCTTCATATTCTTTAGCAGCTTCCACCAATTTTCTTTTAGATTCTTCTACAGATTCATCCAGTCTGCCATTCTAAAATGAAAACAAAATAGTTTACATTGTACATAATTATTCATATTTATAAAATAAATATACTTCGTCAGTTTCATCATTTTTAAGATTGCCAAATGAAGGGGAAATAACATTTGAAGATGATGAAACTTCAGCTTCTTGAGTATCATTAGGTTTTTTATCATCTTCTGAAGTTGAATCGGCTTCTTTATTCAATTCAACACGTTCATGAAGATTTTGACCAAATACAAAACCACTAGCCAATGAAATTTCATCAGGTTTTTGTGTGCGATTTTTGGTAATAACTGCACCAAATATCGCTGGCGGTGATGGAATAGGCACTTCATTTTTAGGCTGCGTTTCTGCTTCAGTATTTGTATCATTTTGATTGGAAGAACTTGAAGATTTTGCTGTATTTTATAGAATAACAAAATTTATTAATATGGAACATTTAAAAAAATAAATAATTTTGGCTCGATTAATAAACTAATTGTAGTACTAAAATTTGTTTATGCTGATTTATTGAGGTGATGGCATATACTTTTATACAAGAATCATCTATGCGATCTTGGTTATTTATTTATATTTTTTGTTATAGCCAACAAAAATTAAAACAATCATCATCAGTCTGTGGATTTTCCTAAATGTTATGTTTTATTGTTTTACTATAAATTTAAATTTACGTAATTCATTTTTATTATATTAACTATGATATTAGTTTAGGTAATAAAGCAACATTTTTTCAATATTTCACATAAACATATACTAATATAATATATATTCATTTACCATACTAAGAATTAAAAACAACAAAATAAATATAAAATTCAATGGAAAATCTTGAATATTTTTAAGTATGTATTTCTTCAATATTTGATCTTGTATTAAATTTGTTTTTACATTAGAACAAAATATCTTGAAATAAAACACAAATTTGATGTGTGGCATCTATCTAAAATTTTAATGAAAAAAATAATAACATTAGAAAAAATATGAAAAAATAGTACTAATAAATCAACTTAATTCTTTGGTGGGCTTCACAAAACTTCAAAGGTGACAGTCAATTATAAGTTAAAAAATGTATATCTCTAAAATATCACCTAAAAATTAATATAAATGGGAAGAAAATGAAATAACAAAAACATAAATACGAAGTCATGGACTAACAGGTTAAGAAATAAATAAAAACTGTAGTTAAAATTCAACTACGAATAATACTAAGCATTTAAAAAAAAAACTATAGCTGCCAAAGATTTTATAAAAAATTTGTGACATGCAAAATATTATGTGTATACTGACCATTTGGAATCTTATCATAATGTAAGGCCAAAATATATACCAAAGCAAATACATATAAAATACAGAAGTATGTACATAAGATCTATTTTAGCTATATAAAACAATACCACAATACAAATAAACAACTATATAGTGAGCGATGAAATGGTATTATTAAAATCATTAGGAAAATACATGTAAGTGTACAGATACTGAGTGACAAAAACAAATTATACTCAATTAAACTAAAAAAATAAAAAACAAGTGAATATAATATTACAAAAATTTTAGAAAAAATTGAAATTTTCATGTCTATAGCTCCAAGACCAAATATTGAAAAATATATCCTAAGAAATATTTAAGATTATCATTTAATTTTATATTTTAGTTTAAAGTATTTATTTTGTTATTTTCAATTCTTGGAAAAAATAAATAAACAAATAATAAATATATATCATATAGATATAATACGTGAAATATCGAAAAAATATTACCTATACTAATATCATAGTTAATAAAATAAAAATGAATTACGTAAATTTAAAATTATAATAAATCAATAAAACATATTACAATAACATTTAAGAAAATCCACACTTATGATAATTGTTTTAATTTTTGTTAATTATAGCAAAAAATATAAATAAATAACCCAGACCACATTGATGATTCCTGTATACAAGTATAGGCCGCCGCCATACTGTGTGATCTTGTGACGTTATATAGCTATCTCTTGGGCTCTAACGCCTCAACGAATCAACTTAACAAACTTTATTACCACTATTAGTTTGTATTGATTAATTATTTACTGATTGGACCAGTTGATTTTTTTTTTTTTTTTTGTTTCATATTCTTTTAATTTTTATCTAAACAAAAAAATTACTATCATGAAAAATATATTATTTCTATTATAATAATAAAACATCCAATAAAAATGTTTTATTGATGGAAAAATAAATTCTGCAGATATCTACAATTAAAAATCAATGTTAGTGACAAAATAATTTTAATATTTTATTAATAAACTGAAACAATGAAAACAGCTCAAGACTAAAATATAAATTATATTTTCAATTATAAATTAAATAGTAGAATTAATTATCTATAATACTGACCTAGAATCAAACATATCCAAATTAAACAAGTGAATGTCTAATACCACATGCTATATTATATTTATGCATCTGTGATATAGAAATATAATTTAAAAAAAATTATTTTAAAACCATTTAATTATTAAATCATTAAGAATTGTATCATAAAACCTAAAAACAATAATTATTAACTAAGGTCATTATTTAAAAAAAAAATAACCGACTTACGAGTGGATGTAGATGGGTTTAAACTTAATCTAGATGGATTTAAACAGAATGACTTAGATGTAGGTCTTGGAGTATCTGGTTTTCTTTGACCCATCTCAAAAGTAAATGATGATGAAGATGGCAACAATGATGGGCGTAAAAACATTGGACTGCTTGTCTGGTTATCTACAACATAGTAAAAACAACAATTTTATAGATATTTTTAATCATACAAATAAAATTTAATACAATAAGTATTTTTTAAATAGTAAAAATTATAAACAAAAATATATTTTGAATTAATTGAATTTAAATATTGTTAGATAGATTTAACTACAATTAAACAGTTATTAGAAATAAATGTCAACCATATATAAAAGTGCTTATAGCTTAGTATATACCTTAAATATTTGGTGATACTCATAATTTTATAAGGCAATACATTTATAAGTAAATATTAAATTTAATGTTATTTTGTTTATAGAAACTATGGAAAAAATAAAATTTAATGAAGTAAACACGAAAAAGATTAAAGTTTTTACTTGTATTAGCAACAATAATGCCAAAACATTAATATAATATACATTTATAAGAAAACCTAATAATAGAGCATGTAGAAGAATTCACATGTTTAGGGATTGTTAAAAGTATAGGTTGAAGATATAAAAATTAAATAATAAAAGTTTGTCTAACAAAAATATTATGTAATCAAAACCAATTTTATTTATTTCAAAAAATATTAGCCTACATGTCAGAAAAAATCTTTGAAAACACTTTAAAGGAGTATTATTCTTTACAGCAATAAAACATGAATAATTGTTAAAGGCAAATGACAAAAAAATATGGAGAATTTGTAAGCCAATTATAAGATTAATTACTGGTAAATGAATGTGTGTATACTTATCAAATAAATTGAATGTTTTATATTTTAATGGATGATACTTCGACAACTACCATACCAAATAAAATTAAAAAAGTTTTTGTTACATAATTGGTTATATATATTCACCTGATTTGTGTTGATATCTAGGTATCGATGTAGAAGGCTTAACCACTCTTTCTGGTGTCTCATGATCGTTTTTCAATAAATTTTCTGAAATATTTACAATTTATATATATATTATGAGCTAATGACAAATTTAACAAGATATATTAAATATTAACTGACAGATTAAATTAAACATAATATTTTTAATTTATTTGCATAAAATATATTTTAACTAGCATTTAAAAACATTTATGAATGAAGAGACCAATAAATTTTTTATGTAAAATTCAGAATGTAACTAAAATATTATAATAATAAGAATATATTTTATTTAATTGTTATTTTAATAACACTTTTTACTAGATAAAAATATAATAAACTTTTTTAAATACATAGTAAATATTAGATTTAAATTTATGTGATTCATCATAACTCTAATATGCTAAGTTTCTTAGAACTATTAAAAGATCATTTCAAGAAAAACAAAAATTAAATATTATATTACTTGAAGAATATTGAAGCTAAGTGAACAAAATTATTGTAAGTTTTATATTTAATTATTAAAAAGCAGTTTTAGATTTAAATGCTAAAGTTGATAGTAAAATTGAACAACTAATTCACTATTTAAAAAATAAAATTGTGTCATTAAAATCTTTCATCATATTAATGTTCTACAATATTCTAATCAAAACTTACTATATAAGTCCATAAATAAACCATAAAACTGATTTATAGATATAATAAATATATTTATCCAATTTAGTAAAAAGAAAATATTTTGATGAAAATAAATAATGTAAACTATACCTATGTATATATTAATATAAATGTACAAACAAATTTTAATTTCTCCATCACCAACCTTATATACTTATACCGTGTCAACATCAAATTTATAAATTATTAAATTAACAACAATTAAAGTAATCATAGTTGAAAAACATATATATATATATATATATATACAATAGATATGTCACTCGTTTTATAATACAGATAAATTTGTTTTATATAATAACTGTTATGTATAGTTACTTACCTTTAACTTCTACTTGTTCAGTCATGTTTTTGTGAGCTTACCAACTATAAAATATATTGGAAATCTCCACAGTAAATTGTTATTTACCTAAAATTTATAAAGATGAAAATAACAAACTATAGAATAGGAACATAATGCTAGGGTTTAATTTTTTAATAAAATGACTAATTTAAGCAAATTCACAATATGGATATACCAATTCTAATTAATCAACATTAAATCATTACACGAACATGAGTACAACAAATTATTTGTATTATGAAAGTTTTATCAAAGCACAAGTGTGACCCATGGTCCTGGACAAAAACATTGTGAAACAGCTGATTAGCAAAAAGTATTAGTTTTACAATTCATTACGGTTCAATAAAAACCGCGTTATGATAAATATGATCATGAACCACGATTATTCTCACAATAATACAAATTATCTTTTGTGTTTCGTGTGATTCCAGTGTGAATAAATTCAATAAAATGTCGGTAAAATAAGAAAAAAAATTACAAGATTTGGGAAAACGCTTGAGGCTTAAAGATTTGACGTAAACAACGGACGTTGATATAAATGAATAATAATTGTACCAATGAACGTCGCTTGTAAGTTTAAAAGCATTATGTGTAAAATTCTACAGACAGTACAGAGTACAGACCTCAGAAGATCAGCCTGGTCAGAGACGCTAAAAACCCGGAATTGATGTTAACGACAACAACAGTGCTGCCACATTTTAAAAAAACTAAGCGGAATATTTTTTTTGACATTTGAATAAAACACAATATACATGACACATTTATTTTTACGTTTTTGTCAAAAACCAACGACGTACAAAAAAACTTAAATCATCACACGCATAAATTTGCGAAATTTTGTCATTAAATCCATATGTTTATTAAAAATTGTAAATCATAATATTACCAAAAGTCGAAACGCTTTTTGGACCACAGCCATGTTTATGAAAATCGGATAGTTGGTCACACTCGATAGCCGGTTCCCTTCCACTACCTTGATGATTGTCGCCCTATTGCACCACCTTGCGAACGCCGCCCCATTAACGCTGATCAGTAACTGAGGACGAACTCGGAACCATTTCTGTGAAACCGCGTTTAACGACTACAAGTGCATCGCCCGTGTTCCACAACGTGCTTGTTCTGGTGCTTCTAGAACGTTCCCGAGGCTTCACTATATACGATTTTCAATCGATCTCTTCTGATTGTCTGCAAAAGGTTAGCTATAATAAATTAATGAAAAACGTTAATTATTACAAAAAAGCCTTGACATTTTTAATTGAACGTATTTGTATTGGCCAGATAGGCCATCGATAGAATAATAAAGATAGTGTTATACCATTCCTACCAAAATTTACTCCGGATTTTAATTAAACCATCAATAATTTAATAATTTTGATACTGTTTCATGTCGAGAAACTTTAATACGCTCCGCTCATGCCGGTTTCCATACCTGGTACGGAAAGAGCCGCACCACGTTTCCTCTCCTGCTACTTTAATGTTTACTGTTAGTCACGGCTTCTTTTATTTTATTCAATTCTAATTTTGCTCCTCAAATAATATTGTATTACGTTCCTTAATCGTTAGATGCACAAGTTTGTGATTTCATTTAAAATTCAAATTTTTGATGGATTGAGGTTAGGATTTTGTGTTAGCCAGTTTTTTAATTAGTAGGTACCGAAATTGTTGTAATCTCTTTTTAAATTTCTTAATCGGAATCCTATTTTTTCTTTTAAATAAATTGGTTACTATTTCACACTAATTCTTCTATGTAATTAACAACAAATGTATTAGATATAGAAGTTAATAATCAGAAGTTATGCCTAATAATATTTATCGTTTTTATTTGGTACTTATCATTTTATAAATTCTTATAATATTATGTTTTAGTTTACTATCTTATTATTTTTTGGATTAGTTACCCAAGTTCTTAAATAAATTATGTATCTACTACTCAAATAATTGTTTTAGCATTTTACCTATTTTAATATATCTACCTAAGAGAGGCATACTGGCTGCAACTACACTTCTTAACTAACATACACCTTATCAATTTCACATACCTATAACATTCATGTCGTTTATGTCTTCATGCGTAAAACGAGTATATTTTTATGTAAGTCAGAACATAGTAATACAAAAACAATTCTTTCTTTTTGTGCTAAAAACTAGTTCAAATCAAATTCATACCTACACAATTTAATAAATTTATAAAAATACAGTAATAGTTGTAGATTAAACATATTATGGAGTACACCTATGTTTATTTATGTTATCAAATTTAAATTATGTTTAAAATTATAATTTTGTTTGATATATGTGTATGAAATATGATACATTCATGAAAAAAAACTTTACTTCTACCTTGTTGTTTATCTATTGTCTATTATAAATAAGTATTTTATTATTCAATCAATCTTGAGTTAACTCATTTGTAAATTGTTCTAATTAAACTATAATTTATAGTATTTCAGTATAGAAATTAATTTAATAATTATTTTAGGTACATCATAAATGTAATAAAAAATTAAACTGAAAATAACATTGAAACTTGAATTAACATAATATATTAGTTTTTAGGTTGACCTATTATTATAAAATGAGATATGAGATAATATTTGTATTATAAGGTATACTTAATGATTTAATTTCTGATTTAAATAAATAATTAAGCTACTGCATCTATTTGTTTTAAAGTTCAAGGTTTCAACCCTTTTTTAACTATCTGCTTGTATATGCATTTTCTTTTTTCAAGTACCTAGTGATTTATAAGTAATCAATTATTTCGATTACTTACAATCAGCTTAAATACTTATTAGCACATTTAATAAAATCTTTGGTTATTAGCTTTTTACTTTTTTGTTTGCATTTACAAACGACCAACTTAGGACATTGGTACGTTTCAGATTAAATAAAAACTACAATCAAAAACCATTAATTGACAGAAAATATTTTCATTTTGTTGCATTTCAAATCTAATTAAAAGATGGAAGACAAGGGATTAAGTTTTGCTGATCAATCTCTTTCGCTCAATTCTGCTGAAGACGCCAAAATTATAGTTTCAGCAATCGAAAAATGTCCGCGCCTGATTTTTTTCAATCTTCAAGGAAATACTTTAGGAATTGATGCTGCTAAAGAAATTGGTCATGCTCTTGCTAAACATGGGTCTCATCTTAAACATGCATTATGGCAAGATATGTTTACTGGACGACTTAAATCTGAAATACCAATAGTTCTAGAACATTTATCAGCTGGTTTATTAACAGCAAATGTCCGTTTATCTGAACTTGATTTAAGTAATAATGCTTTTGGACCAATTGGCATGCAAGGATTAGTCAAACTATTGAATTCACCTGTGTGTTATGAATTACAAACATTACGTTTAATGAACAATGGATTAGGAATTAGTGGAGCAAAAATGCTTGCAAAAGCATTGATTGATAATTATCATGCTAGTACTAAAGCTGGTACTCCATTAAAACTTAAAGTACTAATAGCTGGTAGAAACAGGTTAGAAAATGAAGGCATTATAGCATTGTCTCAATTCTTTGATCTTGTTAAAACCATGGAAGAAATAACAATCCCTCAAAATGGAATTTATTGCAAAGGTATAATAGCACTATCTAAAAGCTTACTACAAAATCCAAATTTAAAAGTATTGGATGTTCAGGATAATTTACTAACTGTGTTGGGAGCAGAAGCATTAGCTAATGTTTTACCAAAATTAATAAATCTCAAACATTTGAATATTGCTGATTGTTTAATAAAATCTAAAGGGGCTTTAGCAATTGCTGAAGCTTTACTTGTTCATGATTCCCTTGAAAATTTGGATGTAAGTTATAATGAGATCAGTGGTGAAAGTGGAATTATATTAACAAAGGCACTATGTGACAAAATAAACTTAAAAGGGTATAATATTAATGGTAATAGATTTGGAATAGAAACTATTGACATGATTTCAAATATACTAAAAGAATCTAACAAGGACAAAACTCTGGGGTCGTTCAGCGGTGATGAAGGTGAATGTTCATCTGATGAAGATGATAATGAAGAAGCTGAAAAAAGTTCAACTGATTCTGAAGATAGTAATATTTCTACTTCTCAAGCTGATATAACTGCTAATATAATGAAAGATATGACTGTTAGTGAGATTAAATTAGTACAAAATTCTACAGATGATGTTAGTTTTGAAATATTAGTTGATCAACTAATGGATATTGCTGGTCGTTATAATAATGCAGACGATAAAGATATTTTGGATAAGTGTTTTGAGTTGTATAAAACCGCTTATACTGATGCTACCAAAAGATTGAAATTTATTGATTTGACAAATTTATTGTTAGAAAAACATGGATTAATTAAAAGTGAAGAAGGATTCGAAATACGAGAAGATGTCAGTAGATGTTTAGAAGTTCTGAAAATAGCTGTTGAAAATAAAAATGTTATTCCTGAACCATCTCGATGTGTTTTAAGCTTTATGTTAAAAAAAAATATTCAGTCTAAATAATTTGTAAACTATGTCTTTTTAGTACGTTAAAATGGCAATCAATAATCTGAAATATATATCATTTTTTTGTGTAATTCAGTTCACTTTTTTTTTTCAATTTAAGAATTTATTTAGTTTTCATTAGAATAATGAACATATACTTTATTTATTTTTTATGTTTATTTTGCGCTATAATATTTTTTTACCTTATTCAGCG